CCTCTCACTCTGCCCCTCCCCCCCACTTGTGCACTCACTCAAATGAATAAATTTAAAAATAAAAAATAACTTCTCTCTCTTTCATTAAGGCCTGGGCTTTGATACACAGTTCTATTTTTTTTTATATTTTAGCTTTTTAAAATATGTATACATTCACAGCATAAATAATATAGAAGTCCCATGTTCCCTTCACTCAGCCTCCCAAAATGATGACATCTTAGATAGCTATAGATCTTACTCAGTTTTCACCATTTTTAACTTGCACATGTGTATGTACTGTTACAAAATCTTCCCCATACATAGAGATTCAGATTACCACCAATGCAATCAAGATATAAAACTGGTTTTGTGACTGCAAAAGCTTCCTCATACCAACTTAGCACTCCACCCCCCTCCCTGTCCTCTGAAAAGCACTAATCCATTCTCCATCTCTGTAGGTTTATGAAATTTTTTCCTACTAAACTTGTTTGTTCCTACTATTGTGCTATATAGTGAGTAAAGATACGTGAACATTGATTTGTGAATATAAGCTTCATGATTTTTTTATTTTTAGGAATTTTATTTCATCTTGTTTACTACTCCACTTTTCTCTCCCTCCCCTCTTAATTAGATTCCATTCTTCTGAGTTTTAAAAAATCCAGTATATTAACCACACAGACCGATTTTCCATTTAAAATACAATTTATTCATTTATATTTAATATATGCAGTATATAATTTATTATATATTACAAATATTGTTGAATTGGTACATAATATAAATTATTAAATTGAAACAGTTTGCTTTATGTGAACAAAGAAATTTTCTATAATGATAATGACCTAGTCTACTTCGTCATTAAAGTTAGCCTTTAGCATGCTGTCTAAATTGATAAGGTAGTTTCAACTAACTTAAAACGGAATATTGTCTTTCTTACACAGACTAGAGTTGGGATCCTTGGAGATGCCTCATCCTTCCGAGTTCATATCAGTTTTGTTGAGAAGCAGAAACATTAAGTATTGGGGGAAATGTATATACATTTTCCCTGGGCTGTTGCAGACAGATTGAGAAGCTTAGGAGGCATCAAAAATTTACAGCATCGGGGGTATTGATATAATGTGCTTGAGAGCCTCATGGTCTGGGCTTGACTCCACCTTGTCTTTGTTCTTTACAGACACAAGCAGGGGAGTCCAGTACCTTCTCTGCAGTAACTCTCTTCTTGTGAAGTGAGAGAGGGCCGTATGCACCATCCTGATCCTGGTGAGTATGTATGACTCTGTGAAGCCGAACTCTCGGCTCACCACCAGCTCCCTTCCCTTGTGTCTTCACGTTTCTCAACATTTCCGCCCTTTGTACTTCATTAGCAGTGACAAACGTGTTCCTCCGTTCTGCTTTGGGGGCAAGGGGGCAAGGAAAACTTTTTCCGTATAGTCTTTGGGCTCTAAGTTCCTTCCAGAATATGCAATCATGTAGTATTTAGTAACACTTTATTTTTTTTTTTTTTAAAGATTTTATTTATTTATTTGACAGAGAGAGAGACAGCTAGAGCAGGAACACAAGCAGGGGGAGTGGGAGAGGGAGAAGCAGGCTTCCTGCGGAGCAAGGAGCCCGATGTGGGACTCGATCCCAGGACCCTGAGATCATGACCTGAGCCGAAGGCAGACGCTTAACGACTGAGCCACCCAGGCGCCCTTTAGTAACACTTTAAAAAATATTTCTGGTCTCATAAACTGTGCCAGTTAATCTGCTGGGAATTTTGAATTCAGTGTTGAGTAACAGTTGTAGGATACAAAAGGAGCCATTGTGTAAGCAATTATTCAGAGAGAATTAGATCATGATTTTGGCTTTTTCAGGTTTTCGGAGTTTGACAGTAGAAATCCAATGCCAATTTGAATTTTATTTTATTTTATTTTTTTAATTTATTTGAGAGTGAGAGAGATAGAGAGAGCTCAAGAGGGGGTAGGGTCAGAGGGAGCAGCAGACTCCCTGCTGAGCAGGGAGCCTGATGTGGGACTCGATCCTGGGACTCCGGGATCATTACCTGAGCCGAAGGCAGTCACTTAACCAACTGAGCCACCCAGGCGCCCCCCGATTTGAATTTTAAACTAATACCCAATGTATTTATTTTATGTGAAGGGACAATGCCTGTGGAGTGTGATGAATAATAAATGTCTTCATTGTCTAAATAGCATTTTTAATGCTATGAATGATAGAGAAAAGAGCACATTTCTTGGGTAGGGACCTCTTTCCCTTTACACAAGAGGTTTGTTTGTGTAGTTTGATCTCAGTTCCAACTTTCTGTCTTCTGAGGGAGGGTCAACACTCCTCCTTTCTAAAAAGTGTTTGCTTTTGTCAGATAATGGATGCTCCAAGGCCTGTGCTGCCACTAACATTTTAGACCCATCACCGGCAAATACTACAGGCATAGATTTGGTTCTAGACTACTGCAATAAAGCAAATTAAATGAAGTTTTTTGGTTTTCCCAGTACGTACATAATAATAATGTTAGGTTTTTACACTGTAGTCTTTTAAGTATACAGAAAACATTAGGTCAAAAAAAAAACAACCAACCAATATTCAGACCTTAATTAAGATCCTTTCTTGCACACTAACCCTCATCTGAGCTTCTGGCGAGTCGTAATCTTTTTGTTTGGGGCTCAGGGTGGCTGTGGCAATTTCTTAAAATAAGACAGTGAAGTTTACTAGCAGTTGACTCTTCCTTTCACAAAACCTTCGTCAGTGGTCATTTCAGCATCTTCACCAGGAAGAGATTCCCAAGTGTTTTTTTTTTTTCTTTTAAAGATTTTATTTTTTGACAGAGACACAGCAAGAGACAGAACACAGGCAGGGGGAGTGGGGGAGGGAGAAGCAGGCTTCCTAATCATAGGACCCTGGAATCATGACTTGAGCCACCAAGGCGCCCCCTCATCCATTCAAGTTTTAGCATGAGATTGTGCCTTATAGCTATTCAGTCACATCATCTTTACTTCTAATTCTCTTGCAGTTTCCACCCCACATCTATTGTTATTTCTTCCATGGAAGTCCTCAATCCCTTCTCTGGCCTTACAAAGACTTGAAAGTCAAAAATTATTCCTTCATTCGTGGGCTACAGAATGGATGTTGTGTTAGCCTCTCCATCAGAGCTCTTGGGTGACCATGTACATCGTCACAGTGAGCCTTTGGGTCTCAGTATTCAGTAAACCATAGTATATGTAAACAGATGTGTTGTCATCTGGGCTTTGTTGTTCCATTTATACCTCAGGCAGAGTGGCTTTAGCTCAATTTTAAAGGATCCTAGGATGTCCAGGATGATAAATGAGCACCCCTAACAACACAGTGGGCCTTTCCTCTGAAGCCAGGCTTGACATCTCTAGCTCTGAAAGTGCAAGATGACATCTTCCAGTAGAAGGCTGCTTTGCCTACCTTGCCTACCTTGAAAATTTGTGGTTTTGTGTAGCCACCTTCACGACTGGTCTTAGCTAATATTCCAGACCAGCACAGGAACCGGCCTCTCTGCTGACTTTCAGCTTGTCTTCTGCCGGGTTCCTCACCTCAGCCTTCCTAGAATTGGAGACAGTTAAGGGCCTTGCTCTGGATTAGGTTTTGGCTTAAGGGAACTTGGGGGCCACTTCGATCTTCTCGGCAGACCACTACCACTTTCTCTCTTATCAGCAGTAAGGCTGTTTTGCTTTCTTATCATTTGTGTGTTCACTGGAGTAGCACTTTTAACTTTTTATTTATTTCCTTCAGAGGCTTTTTGTGTTTTTTTCATTCACAACTGGGCTACACTTGATTTAAAGTGAAAGGTGTACAAGGCACTTCCTTTCACTTGTGTTCTAATGTTATTAATAGGCATAATTTCACTATGGTCATGTCTGAGGCAAACAAGGAAACCTGAAGGTGGAGCAGATACCACAGCCTTTATCAGTCCTAGATGGCCCTTTGACTAGGGCTTCATTACCTGGAAATAACCTGCTAAATTGTTCCACAAGAGAGTTAGTTATGAGCTTTAGAGTGTTTTCTAATTTAAGAGCCAAAAAAATTCTTCATGCACTTATTCATGCACACACTTGTGGGGGCTTCTTCCCAGGTGCCTCAATTTTACATGCAGATTACCAAATCATTGTGACAAAATAAGACTAGGTATGTGCTCTGTGGCACCTCAGTTCAGGAGTATGTAGCTCAAACTGTCCTTAATGGATCTATATCTTCATCTGTTCAAACCTCCTAGACAGATAGAACTACCTCTACAGAAGTGAGTACTTGTGTATTCTCAGTCCTTGCAAGGGAGTCCCTTTTACGGTCGGTGCATTCTGCATAAAGCTCTGTAAACCACGGAGGCACAGCTGGTTCCAGTAAATCTCTAATAGGACATGGAATTTGGTTTGGAACTTTACTACCATTTGCACAGTCTGGAGACCGCTCTGCCTTGAGAATTTGGTTTTGAAAGCTTTGAATCACTTTCGTGGCTTCAAGGCTAGTGTAGTCCCCCTCATACTCCAAATACCAGAATCAATGGCTTTCTGATGCTGGACAAAAGCACGGAATGGGCAGTGCACCTTGAGAGAAACAAAACAGTAGGAGATGAGGTCACATCCTTCCCAGTTTCCCCCCCGAGGTCAGACACACTGTTATGAGTAACTCTATGGAATGGTACATCCATTTGGATTTGTAAACCTTTGGGAGTGTGCTAAGCATTAAAAAGTGATCAGTTGCAGGCAACTCCCCAGGAATCAGGGCACAGCCCCCTCACAACGCTTCCCGGTGGCCCAGGAGTTTCTGATATGTGGCACCTTTCACAGAGGCCTGTGGAGCACTAAGAACGTCATTGCCCAGAGGACCGTGCACCGAGTGACACCAGCGTGGACCAATGAAGGTCCAAGAGACGGGCGTTTCCGTGTGTGCCATCACGTCGGGGCAGGACTTCCGGGGTCCTTCTGGCAGTCGTTTTGGCAGCTCTGGGGTCGGTTTCCTGTTTGGAGGTTCCAGAGCACAGGGTCAGGACGAGGTGACGACTGGGGAGTCACGAGAGGAGGCATCCCCGCGGCATTGCACTGCTCCCGGCCCTGCTCTTCCCACAGAGTCCGATGGCGGCCGCACCCAGGGACCCAGCTCAGGTAAATGCCTAAGACCCTCAAGGTCCTCACTCGGGACGCCTGCTTGCATCCCTGCGGCCCAGGCCCCGGTGTCCTGGCTCTGAGGCTGGGGGAAAACCTGGTCTCCACAGTAAGCAGGGAAATGTCTGGACTCACAGGCTGAGGGACAATCGGGAACAGTGGAGATAGGAGCTCATTGAGCCCCACCTCTACTGATGAAGCACTTTTGGAGCCTACATGTAAGGGGGAGGGTGTCCAGGACTGGAATGACATCAAACTAGAAGTTATATGGCTGGAGGTGGTTTATATGGATGGAAGTATGTTTGCAGGTCTAGCAGAAGTCAGCAAAATGAGGTGGTCATGGGGCACGGGTACCAGCATGGCTGCACTGTGAGTAATCAAGGAAATGCCCGTGTTCTTTCCTTCTGATGGCGTGGATCTTGTGTTTACCAGCGCTTTGTAGCTACGGAGATGTAAATCGTGGCCCTGGAAGTAAGAGGAAGTGTTGGGTGGGTTTAAGTTCAGTGTAGTTAAGGTAGACAACAGGAGGAGATAGGGGTGACCAAGAGAGCCTGACATGTTTCAGGAAGTACTCCATATGCAGGCAGCTGGATACAAAAGTCTACAGGTTTGACGTGGGGTTCAGCCTTAGACGCATAGGTGGAACTTTGTGTCACATGTAGGAAGGGAAATTCAGATGATGGTGAGAAGATTATTAAGAGGCCCAGCAGAAGAGGATGGGTACTGAGTCTAGACCTGCTCCTGGCAGCAAGTGGTCTCTCAAACCAGGTAAGGGACAGAGGAGACATAAGTGTACTCGGCCTGGTGTTCTGTTTAAATAGTAATTCCCCATCTCTGGATATAGGGATATTGGATTTTAAATTTTAGTGGGGTTTTTCATGGAGGCTCTAGTGTCCTTGAGGCTGCCCTAACGCAGTGGGGTCTGACTTGCCCAGCACTCATGATACCGTAAAGCTATAAAAAGAGGTGTGTGAGCTGATGTCTCCCAGCCCCTTGGTATTAGGGACTATCTTCGGTTGTGCCTGGTGGGTGCACTGGGGAGGCTGTTGAGGCCTTGCCGCCTGGCCATGAACCTAAGATTCTGTCTGCCCCCCCGTGCCTCTTGTTCAGAGGCTGGGACGTAGTGATTGCTGGCACTGGGGCTGGGTGGCCCGGGAGGAGGGTGAGTGGGTGCCCTAATGGAGGAGGGCTGTTTGTGGTTTCATCTCTCCCCAATCATGGCAGGGTAGTGTGACCTTTGAAGACGTGGTTGTGTACTTTTCCTGGGAAGAGTGGGGTCTCCTTGATGAGACTCAGAGATGCCTGTACCATGATGTGATGCTGGAGAACTTTGCACTTGTGATCTCACTGGGTAAGACCCCCCGCCCCCGGCTAGACTCTGCTCTTTTTCTCACATTTGCATCACAGATACTGCCATCACTAGGAGTGGGCTCAACAACTGCCCTCTTGTCAAGGTGCAACTTTGCAAACTGCCCCCCCCCCAAGCCCGATGGATTAGCATCAGCCACTCTTGTCCACACCCATGGCACCTGCCCAGGTTTTCTCCCACCTTCTAAGCTCATGTTTCTTCTTACCTGAGGCCAGCAGTTGCATGGAGGCCGAGGGGCTGTTCTGTGGGGTCTACTTAGAGTATTTTCTGGGTTTTGTCATGCATAGAACTGCTCTGGAGCATCACTCACCCTCTACCTGTCTTGTCATTGCCTCACCTGAGTCCCAGTTCATTCAACTGGGCTTTAGAGGAGTCCAGGGCCCTTCTCCCAGGACAGCCCGTGAGAGTGTTGATGGAAGTGCCCACACCTCTTTCTCCCTTTCCCCCCCCTTGCACTGCTTCCACCTGTTCCTGTTAGTTTACACCTCCTTAGTCTTTGACTAGCGTCACTTGCAACCATCTGTTCCTGGACCTAAACTTCCACACAGCACTCCCAGCCCTCCTGCAGGCCAGGGGCAGAGGAGTGAATTCGAGACGCTGCTTCTCCCTGTGCTGCACACACCCACCCCCCAGTCATCTCGTGAGGCCTCCCTAAGTCTTGTGACTTTAAGATTTCCGGGACTCCAGCCCCTTTTTACCCACCTGACCCCAACACACCCCTTTTTGAAAACCAGTCCAGTGGCCTTATTCAACTGTGCACAATAGACATTTGTGACACCTTCCACCAAAGATAACATATTTCACACCAGCATTTCTGTGCTTTCAGGTTGTTGGTACGGAATGGAGAGTGAGGAGAAGATGGCACTGGGAAAGACTCCAAGTCCAGATTCATCCGTTTGGAAAGCTCAGCCCTGTGAGAAATGTGTCTTGCTTGGGAGAGACATTTTGTATGTGGCTGAGGACCAAGGATCACATCCTGGGCAGAAATCCTACACCTGCGAGGCATGTGGGAAACGACTGTGGTTCAGTGCAGATCTTCACCAGCACCAGAAACACAATGAAGAGAAGCCATTCAGATGGGACATGGAGCTTCTGACAAGCTACAAACTGCATGTGTCAGGGAAGCCTTTCCCCTGTGGGGAAATTGGGAAGGACTTCCTGGCCATATTGAGTCTTCTCCAACATCAGGCCACTCTCAAAGGGGCCAACCCACATAGCAGCTTGGAACTTCAGGAGTCCTTTCAAGGTAGAGAAAGTCCTCACAAGTGCAGCGACTATGGCAAAGCATTCAGCTATGAATATAAACTTTTCCAGCATCAGCACATTCACACCAGAGAAAGTTATCAGGACTGGGATGACTGTGACAAACCTTTTAACCAAAGCTCCACCCTTACTAATTGCCCGAGAGCTTACCCAGGACCAAGGACTTACGAGTGTAATGAATGTGGGAAATCCTTTAGCCAAAGCTACAACCTCATTCAACACCACAGAATTCACACTGGCGCAAGGCCTTACAAATGCAGCGAATGTGGAAAAGCCTTCAGCTTCAAATTCAGACTTGTCCAGCACCTGCAGATTCACACTAGAGTGAGGCCTTATGCGTGTGGCGAATGCGGGAAAGCCTTCAGCTACAGCTCTACTCTCATTAAACATCAGAGAGTTCACACGAGAGAAAAGCCTTACAAGTGTGGGGAGTGTGGGAATTCCTTCAGCCAAAGCTCCAACCTCATTCAACACCAGAAAATTCACAGCGGAGCCAGGCCTTACAAATGCAATGAATGTGCAAAATCCTTCAGCTACAAATGCAAACTTGTTCAGCACCTGCGCATTCACACGGGAGAAAGGCCTTACGAATGCGGTGAATGTGGGAAATCTTTTAGCCACAGGTCCACTCTCAATCAACACCAGAGAATTCACACTGGAGCCAGACCTTATAAGTGCAATGAGTGTGACAAATCCTTTAGCCAGAAGTCCAACCTCATCCAGCACCGCAGAGTCCACACAGGAGAAAAGCCTTACGAGTGTGGGGAGTGTGGGAAATCCTTCAGCCAAAGCTCCCACATCATTCAACACCGAAAACTGCACACCAGATGACCTCATGAATGCAATGGGAAAGCCTTCCTCTATAAGGTCTAACACATTCGTCAGCTAGACTCACTAGGAGGGAACCAGCTCTTAGGATATTAATTAAACATCACACAGGGCATCACACAGGGGTAGAGTCCCCAAAGCCTTCTCTCTCTTGACCATTATGAATGATGGGGGAGGTTACACAGCCCTTCTTCCTCATGAGGGTTCTGACCCCATTTTGATGAAGCTTAGGGGGGGGTTTCAAAGTACTGTTTACCTTCCCAAGCCTCCTAGAGTGCCCCGAGAAACAGTGTATTTTCTCTGTCTCTCCACATGCTGTGGGGCACTAGGGGGCAGAAAAGTTGTTCCCAAGTACTGCAAAGGAATCATGTGCCTTCATGTGGGCTTATATAACATGACATGGCGGGGGGCCAGGTGACTTGTACAGAAACAGGACTGTAGGAATTAGTACACCTACAGGAACTTGCATCCACTTGCAGTGACTGTGCCTGTGGGTTCAGTTTATAAACACTCCAACGTAAAGTTTCACAGTCCAGAAAATGGCGACATGATGCTGTCACCCAGATCAAAATTACATTGTCTCAGTGATGCAGGGTGATGGACCCTTGGTGCAAAAAAAGTGGGGGGACCCAAGACCTCTATTTGATTTTTTTAATAAAGCTTTATTGAGATTAATGAACAGGCTGTAAAAACTGCACATAAGTATAACCGAACCACAGATGGTAATAAATCTATGTATAAAAGTTATTTTTTGCACTTCATGGGAGGGAAATAATTGCTTTTATTGCTGAAGGCTAAAAATTGCACTCTATGATATGCCATGATTTTTGCTCACCCTACCCTAAAACGGTATTATGGTATTACCTATATGCTGCTGACCACAAATAAAACTCAAACGTGTTAATATAAAATGAGAACCTCGAAGGACCCCTTTTCCCCCATGTAGAGTCATTGTTTAGATTGTCTTGCCCCTATGGATACAAACAAACTTTGTCTAACATTGCTACTAAAGATAGTATATTTTAACACACACTTTATTCGGGACAAGCAAGAAATACTAAAAAGTAAAAAAACAGACCTATTATCTCCCCCAAAACACACCACCCACCACACCACATTTGTAGATAATTAGGACTGGCTCAGACTGTGCCTCAAACCCCCCCCCCCCACCCTGGCCGCCGCCCTTCCTGGTCTGAGCCAGAGATAACACCATGGGATAACGATCCCAAGTGTGGAACCTGGTTCTTCTTAAATTCAGCCCCTGGGGACAGGTAATCTACACCTTTTCATTTTTAAAGATTTCCACAGCTAAAAAGCAAGAGCAGTAACACAAGCAGCAGCAGCAGGGGGAGTGGGAAGAGGGAGAAGCAGGCTTCCCCCTGAGCAGGGAGGCAGGCAATGCAGGGCTCACAATCCCAACAACCCACCCTGGCATCATGACCCGACCCTGAAAGGCAGACAACAAACTGAGCCACCCAAGGCGCCCACAACACACACCTTTTCAACCTTTTGAATACCTTTTATAATAATTAAACATGAGCCCCCCCCCCCACACAAGGAAAAGTCAAACATCCGGGACAACACCTTGTTTGCTCCGTCTGCCGGCTCACACAACCATCTTTTTATATTACAGTCAACACCCTGAAAAAGTCACTTTATCACACACAGCCACCCACCCCGCCACAACTGAAAAAATGTAGGAAAAACCAAGTAGGCTCTGGAGAGCTTTTAACAGTCAACGACAACCATCATATTCAAAAACTTGTCAAAATTTAAAGTTCCCCGAAGGATAGACCCTCCCCAAAAGGCACCGCTAAACTAACACCCTTCCTCCTCTGCCTTCGCCCGGCTGAGGCCTACTCACGTCTCCTGCTTCCTGACAGGCGTTTCACGGGCCAGCTCCACGGTCGGGCTGGGTCCCGGGCAGGGTGCGGGGCCCTGAGGAACCACCTCAACCTGCAGAGGCAGCACCCAGCCTTTTGCCTCCGTGGCTTCCGCGCGAGGCCCTGACTCACGTGAACACGGCTTGCACCGGGTCCCAAGATAGGGCCTGGCAGGAGGCCACCCCCGCGGCCCTGCACACTTGCGCCGCCTGTAGAATCCCCAAGACCCAAGCACCCAGGACACCGGCCACCCCCCGCCCCCATGGCCGCTGGCGCGCCCCTCGTGGAGCAGCAAGCACCACCGGGGCGGGGGAACGCCCGGGGCTCCCCTGCCTGCCCGACGCCCTGGGCGGGAAGAATATCACCGGGGCGGGCTTTGCGGGCTCGCGCTTACCTCTGAAGCGCTTCACGCACAGAACCCCTCCCCCCTCGGTTTCCCTTCCCGCAAACATTAAGCCTTGGATGGACCCCTACACACACCAGGCGCTTGAGGCTGCATCCAGCGGCCCGGGGCCCGGGCCTCCCCCGACGCGCCCCACCGAAGGGCAGGCATTCACAGCGGCAGACCCCTCCCCCCTGTTCATGCGTCGGCATAGACAGGAAGCACCGTCCTGCCTCAAACGCACTGCGATTTACCACGTCCGATCGGACGCCGGGCCACGGTGATCACCTGGCCAAGCAGTGCAGACAGCTCCCCCCGCAGGAGGCCACAGCCTTGGCGCCCATTTTCATCCGCCCCATACACAGGCGGGGGGGGGGGGAGAGACACATGGAGACGGCCACGGGGGGCCGGACAGTGAAGGCCTGCGGGGAAAGTGGACGCTGCCACCCGGGGGCATGGAGCCAGACCACCGGCCTCCCGCCCGTACATCTCTCCACGCGTCAGCCACGCGTACCGACCACCAGCCGAGGGGCAAAAGCAGGGGAACCACCACCTCCGCGGGCCGCTCATTGCCGGGGTGCCCAGACCCTGGGCACGGCCCCCACGCACGACTCGGCCTCTGAGCAAGTCTTCTCCACCAGGGGAGGGGGACAGCATGAGCCCCTCTCCAAGGGAACCCCAAGCACGCACCCTGCGGAGGTAACGGGGCCGGGAACGGGTTCAAAGGGTCAATGACCAACGTGTCCCGCAACTCATTAAACCCCACTGCTCCAAGCCGGCTCACCACACCACTAATCAGCAATGCGCTAATCGGTGGAAGGGTCCCCTGGTGGAAAGACCCCCAGCCCATCCCTCAGAAAGGGCTGCCAACAGAGACCCAAAACTGCAGGGGTCCCAAAGACTGGACGATAGAGCCTCCGAGCTCAGATAACCAACACAAGAGGCTCAAAGGCCCCACCTCCCCAGGAAGCTCACAGTGCCCGCGGGCTCATCGGCGACACCCCCGGCCTGGGGGGGAGAACGTGTGGCCGAGAAGGACCGGCCTCTTCCCAACTCTTCGTGGACATACCATACCGCCCCAAACCACCATAGGACATAGCTATATGACAGGACTTCCTCTTGCAACCACCAAACCAACTTCCCCCTTCTCCAGAAACCTTCTAAAGGCAACAAACGCTCTGGGGGCTCCAGCCTGTCCTCAACCACATCCAAGAACCGAAAAAAGCCCCCCCACCACCCCCCGACAGCCCCCACTCCACCCAAAGCCCCCCAAGCACCTCAAGGTCCAGAAAAACCACCCACACAGAAAACCACAGTCCCACAGTCCACGGGTACCTGGCTGCAGGATCCTGGGCCGGCCTGGAACAAGATCCTAAAGAAATTGCCCCTCAGGGTGCCAACAAGGACACTCAGTTGGTGGGCGGCAAGGGGTGGGGACAGCAGTTACCACCTCCCGCCATCGACCCCCCAAACCCAACATACTCCAACGAACTACGAACTGGTGGTCCTCCTCGACAGCACACGCCACCGGAGCTGCCATCCCCACGGCTGCTGGCCCCAGACTCGCCCGCTGGGTGTCCTCAAAACTGAAGGGGATCCAATAAAGTGCACCCCCCCTTCCGAGAACAGGGACCTCAGTCTCACCCTTGTCTGCGGCCAAGAGTGAGGTACTGGAGCCCCCGGCTGCGATCCTTGGATGTGGTGCTCGTTTCTCGGGCTCTCCCACCCCCCCCTCCGCAATCGGATCCAGATTCCCCGGTCACTCGTGACGATCTCTCCAGAATCACAATAACCCACCCACCAGAACACACAACACAACAGGGGCAAACATTCAAATAAATGATCAACCACCTCGGGGGTGTGTGTGGCCACCTTGAGGTCCCATCAACCCAAACGCAGAGGCGCACACCTAAAAAAAAAAAAGGTAGCCAAGCCCCTTTCGGGGCTGACGCTGATCTACTGTGCGCGCCCCCCCCCTTAAGGAAGCCTCCATTCCCCGAGCATATGTAGCGTTGAAAACTGCTCCTCCCAAGGGAGAAGCATCTAAAGGAACCGGACTACGGTTTCTCGCACTCGTACTGTACACACCGGCGCGGAGCGGCGCGGAGCGGCGCGGACGCCGAGGACGCCCCCGCCCCCGATGGCGGCTCAGAAGCCAGGCACAGAGCGCCGGGCAAAGTCCCCCGGCGAGGCCGGCGTCTCCCAAGGACGAAGTGAGGACCCGAGACGGCACCCGACCCGCCTTCTGATAATCACACGGTATACGTCGAGGGACGCGTCCTTGCCCGCACGCAAGGCCGCCGCCGAGAATGGACGCGGAGGAACCCGCACAGTTGCTCTGGTACCCGACGCCCTGGAGCGCGGCCCCAGGTCGGCAGCAAGGCCGGAGGACACGGGACTTTTCCCTCGCCGGTCTCTCTCCTGTTGGCCGCCCTCAAACTCCAGATGGAGGCTCGGAAAAAACCGTGGAACCACCACCAGACCCCACGCGGATCTGTGGGCAGGCCCTGGGCCCTTCATCGCGGTCACCGCACACGCTCCGTTCCGAGGGTCACTTCTGAAGTAACGCCGCGAAAGATCGAGCGTAACATAGGACCCCGAACTGGAACGTGCACCGCCGACGTCCGCCCTCCCCGGCCACCCGTGCGGGCTCTAGGGCCGGGACCACCCGCGTGTATGTGTTGGACCTTGAAAGACCTTCCGCGGAGGCGCCTCCGACCACCGGACGCCACGAGGAGCCGCAGCCAGATCTCTAGCACCTTCCTCCGGCCTCCGCGCACGTTCCGGGCCGGTCTCCCACCTGCGGAGCCGCCCGCACTTCGTTGCCCCCGCGGAGTCACAATCAGCTCCCGCGGACTGAGAAACACCAAGCGGATGCTCATCGAATCCCCTGGGCGGCCCCACGAGCTCCCCCTTCCCTGCGGCTGTGGCCAACACGCGGGAGACCTGCGTATCCAATCTCCAGCGAAGGGGGGGGCGGCGACGCGCCGGCGAGAGCGGGACGATCCCGCCAGCGCCGCCGGCCTCCTGGAACTCTGCCTCGGGTACCACGGCCAAATCCCGTCCCTTGTCGATTTCGCCGGAGCTCCGGAGGGAAGAAAGCCTAAGAGCGGCCACCCGGTGGCGCTCGACAACCGGCGCGAACGTCAGCGGGACGGCTCTGCATCGCCGGCCGGCGAGGGCGCACTGCCTGCGGCCCGGGCGTCCGAGATTCTCCCGCCCCAACGCGGACCGCGCCTCTCGGCCCGGGGCGTCCACCTCGAAGTCCCCCGCCCGCAGGACGGGAGCCCGGCAGCAGAAGGGGAACTTGAGACGTGTTTCCAGGTGGCTGCCGGGAAAGGGACAGACGAACGTATAGAAAGTTCCACGGAGAGGCCTGCAGGCCCGGACCGCCGGCATGGGCTTCCCTAAGCAGCCCGAAGGCTCCCGGGGCTCCCGAGAGGACTTAAAAAATTTGCGGTGGGCCCCGTAAAAAAAACCAT